ATCCACACTACTATCACTTGTAGCAACCATTTGGATTTTATTTGATTGTCTATGTTGGTAATTATTTGCATGTGTACATAACGAGGCGTAGAAAGAGTTATTTGCAATCATTCATTATAATAATTATTAAATATTATTTAGAATTTTCCAAGAACTTAAAACAATTAAACAATCTACTTACTACATGCAATATATGCAAAGCAAGCATGATCATTAGGCATTAAAGACAGGAAAAAATTTAGAGACTCAACATGATATTTAGCAGCTACTGCATCTTGATGTTTACATGGTGCTCTGGATAGCCCAACAAAACATATACATGTACATAATTCTGTATTAACAGTATAAAATAGATCAGTGCCCTTTTTTTCGCTCAGAACCAAATACTCCATACTTATTTCTGTTTGTCAAATGTTTGCTGCATCAATCGCCTCCCAACCGGGATATAGGAACCTTTTAGCAATCCGAATATGACCAGGATGGCAGTGTGCTATTCCAAGTAATCAACGTTCATAATAGTGTTCCATACTTGTGACAATAAATTGAAACATTTGAACACTATTGTATGCCTTGGTACGTGCGAATATAATGTCTTTCAGCAATCTAAAACTACGCTCTATGTAGTTATTAGTATTATTTCCCTGTATAAGGAGCCCAGTTCCAAAGTAACTGGAAGTGTCTTTGTAGTTGTAGATATATATAATAATAGTTGGTTTTTAATTCATTGTAATTTTTTATCATTTCAACTTCTGTTGAAGCATATAATATACTTTTCATAAGATTCATTATAGACATTTTATGAGCCTTATTTATATTATGTTTTGAATTATGCAATCAGCGCCAAAATGCTTGAAGCACATAAAATATACATAATAATTGTTTGGACTGTGGCCAGCAATGTTTTAGCGCATTACGTTTAGAAATTAAATTGTCTGTAAGAAAAGTTACTGATCCAGTATCAGGCCCATAGCCAAAAAATGCGTGTTGTGGAAGAAGCGATTTTAGCATATTCATTTCCCTTTTAAGGATCATTTTTAGCTCATCCGATATCACAAGAATACCGAGAGGCAATGCACCTGCAGTACAGCTTGTATAGAATAGAGTAATTGATGTATTCAACGGTTCAAATGATGCTGAAGCGTCTACATAACAGATTTCTCCAGATTGTTGGACTTTTTCATGAACGCGAACCATTAAATTGGTAACAACACAAAGAATAAAGGCTTTTTCTGACTTAGAGTCATATTCCTAATAATCGCATGACCTTTTCATGAACTATTATATGAATCGACTTTCTCTTTAAGCTATTGAAACATATGCATACCATTCTTTTTACCAAGACAATCACTACAAAACTGTTTAAATAAATTTAAAACATAACCATAATCAGGATTTAGTGCGCAGTCTGCTAATAATTCCATGAGCTCTTGATCATTACTTGCAAGCAAATGAGGACTATCCTCGTATGTATTTTGGGCAGTAGCTGGTGAGTGTCTATTTGCAAAAAGTTCAATATATTTATTGCGAACTTCATTTTTAACATGTCTAAAACTAAGTACTTTCGCAGAATGAACAACATGATTATGTATATACTTAATGTTTACTTCAAGTGGATAATCAGTCTGAAGGTTCTACCGTTCAAGTCGAAGGTGAATTGTAGCCTTACATTCTGTATTTTTAATACGTAATGAACTAGTTTTTTTTAAACCTGGACTCCCTTGTTTTTTTCTTACTATATCGCTATGAATACAATGTCTCAATTGTCTGAAAATAACTTTTTGTCCTAAAATTTGATAGCCCTTAGATTGAGGCATCATAGTTTTTGATATTTTTTCGAAATCAGTTATCCGTTTTTGTGCACCTTCAATATTATCAACATTCACCATGAGATCTGCTTCAAATTGGTTTACTGAAAACCTTTCAATTGTAATATAGTCAGGAAGTATGCAAATTTCAATTGCAAGATAATTATAATTTGATGGAAGTATATTTGTAACATATTCAGACACTATAATGCTTGTCCCATTTGAATTGGGTAGTGATTCAATGCACTTATTATTTAATATTTCATTACTGATAGATGGTTCTGTTATATTTAGATTCATAATAAGTAAAAAAAAAAATGGGTATTTAGAGTGTAACTCAAAGATTTAAAGAAAAATAGCAAATTTTTTTAAGAAGAAAAAGGTAAAAAAAAATAAAAAAAAATAAAAAAAAAGTGAAAGGTAAAAATAAGCAAAGTTTTTTTGAGTTCATTATTTCATCATATTTTTCTATATTTTCATCATAATTTGCCAAAAAAAGAAAATCTAATATCTGAGTTCTGAGTTTAAAAGTTTATCGTATTTAGCTTTAAACACAATACTTATTGTTATATTGTTTTCAGAAGTTTATACTTAATTTAATGTTAAAGCTTAAATATATACGTATTATATTAATTTAATAGACCTATTGCTATGAAAAAATATTGTGTATATCAAAAAAGAAAAAGGCATATGTATTAGTGAAAAGGTCTCTATGGCGAGTACTTATATATATCTATTAAATTCAACTAAATTATTCTATTGAAGTTTTTACTAATTAGTATGACCGATTTTATATTTAAATTTTAGGTTCGCCATAAATTAAAATACTGATTGATTTAATAAATGGCATAATAAATAAATAAATTCGTATATACGGGTAAAGTGATAAATATATTGATCAAACAAAATATATTTGAGTGACAGATTCTAAAAATATTAAGTATGTACTTCTGGTAATAATGCAATTCAACCTTTAAATTATGCAATATCATTCGTAATAATGCAATTTAACCTTTATGTAGCATCATTCTGTTTAGAACACAATATTCAATACAGAAGCAAAAATAATAAGAGGCACCCAGCCTTCAAACAAGCTTTGCAGTCACACCCTTCTTTATTCAATAGTCTAGTAATTTTGTAAATTAAGAAACTAACACTTTACTAAGAACAAGTAAATATATATACTTATGAAAATCAAATTTACATTTATTAATAGCTATAACAGCAATATGCACTCAAAATGCTAAATATCACATGACATGCATAGAATTGTTTCACAAATATTGTGATCACATTTTGTGTACCCGAATACTATCACATGATAAATAATCGTCATAGTCTGGCACAGAATTCGTATGTGCTGCATTATGATTCAAAAACAACTTCAGCCACATATTCATAATATTCTCAATCACCCTGGAGGCACAATTGCAATAGATCTATTCTTCAAAAATAACTACAAATTTAGAATTATCTCGGTTTATCTCTCCTTAACTAACACTACACACCAGCATAGTGGGCTTTATTATGATTGGCTGATTCGTAGATCATATTATCATAGTAAAGTCTTATTAGAGTAACGATTTGCAGTCACAAGAATGGATTCGAAGCCACGAATACGAATTCAGAGAATGTAAGACAAAAAAAATTCGAAAGTTCACGTCTTGCTTAATTAACTGTCAAAGTAATTCAGTAATACGTGAA